TCCATCACGCGGTAAAAATATCAAGGACGTATATTTGTGTGATATTTTTAACTTTCCCACTTGTTTTCCCAGGGATTGGGACCAAGCCTAAATGAGCAGAGCAAATGTACAGAGACTGATGATGTGGCTAGATGAGATTTACACTAATGAATACCCCATTTCGTATGGCTGACTGAACATTGGCAGAAAGGAGAAATTACAGCATAGCGATCCTAAACAGGCAATGATAAGCTTACGATATCCCATTCGTTTAAGGCTATTCTTGTTCTGTAGAACGAATTCCTTTGATCACAATTTTATATAGTTGCTCGGCTCTACTTTTGTTTTGCAGAGATGGCCGATGCTACAAAATGGTGTCTATTGAGAACATGGATCATGTGCAATACATATTTTATTTCGATTTCCTATTGTTACATATGCGAGATTATCAGGTCCAAAATGGAAATTACGAGGTCTCTTTGTTTATATGTACAAAATTAAGCTATTTGATCATGCATCATCATTATAGCCTCATGCTGGCATCCTTAATTGGATCAATAATGTCTACCGCGGTGCTATCGACATGTACGTTTTTACAGTGCTAATGTATGAAAACCAACTACTGAAATCCAGCGAAATGCAGCCGAGAATTGCTGAATACAACATCTTTTGTATGTCTTTAAATATGCCTGAGGGGCTCTTTTCAGACTTATACAACAAGCACAGACTGCAACAATCAACTTTTTCTCACCGTCTTTCTCACGAAGCCTAATTTAGAAAGCAATTGACTATAAAAAACGGAGCATGATCCAAGATATTTTAATCGGCCCAAAACAGGCTTCCTTCTTCATTGAGTCACATGTAACCCTGTCAAATAGGAGCGAAAAGAAATGAACAATTTATAAGAGAAAATTATTGGGCAAAATAAGAGCGAAAATTGACTAATAAAATAAAAGAAAACCTCAGGAAAAATAAGAGCAATTAGTAGAAAAGTATTTTTCTCAACGAAAAAATGGATATTGACTTTGATATGAACGAGATTTCTCTACATGACGATGGAGCTGGAGGAAGAGTACGAGGATAATGAGCCCAATAACAGCTCTGACGAGGAGGAAAATGAAGCTGATGCCCAGAGTAGTGGAAACTATTTAAAAGAAGAGAAGCCTCTCAGAGACCAGACTGAAAAAAAAAAAAAAAAAGTTCAAGTAAATGATTAAAGGTCATGGTGATTGTGATAATATATATTAGGGTTTCTGGCAACAAACCTTTTATCTCTGATAAAAGCCAAGAAGTTTCTGAGAGAAGAGAAATGTCTCTCTAAAAAGATTTTAAAGTGGGGATTTCCATACTTAGAGAAAAAGAGTTTCATTCATACATAGTGAAAATATAGAGAGAATGTGTTGCGAATTGAGCTATCTATATCATATCTTCAGGGTCAAGGTAGTATTTTTTTTAAAAACAAAAAAAAGGTTATGGTTGTCTATTGACAAATATCTGATTCTGGGTCTAAGTGTGTCTGTTGATTTTGTATCAAATACTTTTAATTGGATTCTTGAACGAAGAGCAAGGTTGAAGATAAGCTTTATTTATGTCCTTGGGACTTCGTAAATTTCTATACAGATATTTTTTTATGAATGAATGTGTTATCCTGGTGGCATATTGTTTCATTTTCTCTGGCATTTTCTTATACCCTCAGTTGATTTGGTATTTTCTAGTGTAGGAGGTTTTGTAAGACCTATACCAAGCTGGGTTCTCTATATTCAGTTGCACAGTAGAACAGCTACTCAAGCATGTGCCAATTTTTTTTTATAATATTGGAATGGTTCAAAAGTGAATGTTTTTGCAAACCCATCGTAGATTTTAGGCGCCTGAATTTTAGTCTGCGCAAACTTCAGTGTGTTATTGTCAGAAAAAAGACAAAAACTGTAAGAAAACAATGTTTAGCGATCTCAAACACTAAAACAAGTAATGCAAAGTAATGCATTAGACTATAATACACCTTTTGATTACATAATTGCACAACTCAGAGCAAGTTTTTGTACTTTTTAAGTTGAAATCAGATGAAGGTAGCGACTTTTCTGACTTTTATCGGAAAAGTATTTTTCAAAATTGGAGTGTGAGATCGTCAGGCCAGGTAGAGACATGCAAATACTACCATTAGAAAGCCAAGAAGCGCAAAATTTAAATAAATTAGCTTGAAACTGTTTATTTTTAAATTGGGTAAGCTATGGCTTCTTAAAGCTTATACTTTCTTCAAAAAAACCCCCCCCCCCCCGTTTTTTCTTCAACAGCGGCGATTAAATGCATCCAAAATAAGGAAGATAAACTTCTTTCAGAAACTCCATTTGGACAATTCGAAAACAGAATTACTCCTTTGAGACAAGATATCATACTCTCATACTATGCATACCACGGCTGTCAGTCTATGATAATAGCTGTATTTTTGGACGCTCTACACGATGGTACCATTTCATAATTCCCGTATGCTCATGGAAGAAATTCTACCAAAAAAACTCAAAAACAGATTAAGAGGGAAAGGTCAATTTTTTGCTTAATCAGAGCGCATTTCCAGTCTTTCAGATCAAGGAATGGTCTTTTACGATCATTTTCCTCCAATACATGTTATAGTAAAAAGTTGCATTTTTGGGGTCTAAATCGAGGATAATGCACTTTCGATGATTTTGGATGTGTGGATACAAGGGAAAAATCGAAAAAATCCGTCATTTTGCATCGAAAAAAAAATCATGCTCAAATTGCACCAAAATCATTTATAATATAGTTTTTTATCAATGGATACTATTTTTCGTGTTTTCAGGGCATTTTTGATTATAAAAAATTAATCAAAAAATGGCTTATAAAGCTAAAGTTCTTGCTTTTAAGCTGTAAAAAAATATCTATCTGGAGATGATATCATGTCAATTTCAATTCTAGTACATAACACAGCTCAATAAAGTAAATATGTTTGATGCTACAAGTATACCTTTCTTTATAGTAAAAGGATAAAACAGGTGTGGCTCATCTTCTCTCAGAAATTTCTCGACTTTTATCAGAAATAGGAGGTTTGTTATCAGAAAACCTAATATATATGTATTATCACAAACACCGTGACATTTACCATTCACTTGGATTTTTTTTTTTTTAAAATAGTAAAAAAAAATTGAGAGATACAATTTGTCAGTGATCTAGTGAATATAATTTGAGGCTTTTCACTAGAACAGGTAAGGGATAACGTGGTTTATTATGGATACTTTAAATTTTTGTTTCATATAGATTTTATGGTACTCTTCCGACCAAAGTATGCTATCTGAGAAGATGCTCAAATATGACACCATAGCCAAGAGAATAGTCGATCAAAGATCGCTGGTCTTTCAATGTTTTCAATCTAATCTATCTACCTCTTTTGGATAAACAAGGCTATTCCCGTAGTCTTAGAGGCAATGCTCCTTCAAAACATATGCTGCTCATCGCTCAGATGTTTTACTAGAGCAAGTATGCTGTTTAAATGGTACATCTCAAAAACAAGTGCTACAGAGACTCTACTCACCTCTCTTTTGTTTTGCTCCCAATGTCCTTTTGATGTTCTTTGAGCGTAGAAATAACTTTGTATTCTATTGGCCTCTCTGCACTGTTTATCCTACCCTGGTCTCGTTCAGGGGAACCAATGTTTTATGTAACATTAAGTAACTAGTAAAAGATTCCAAAAGGCTCATTACTTTTAACATTGCTTTCCTGAGAGCTGTTTGCCTGATATTCAGTAAAAGGGGTCCCTACGTCTTCTATCACGGCTTCGTCTGTCAGTGTGGACGGTTCTCGGGATGAGATGCTTGACGCAAATCTAAACTATGATTTTCTTTCAGTGGTTAAACCATAGTTAACTATGGTATCACGTAACTCAGCAGCGCATAATATATTTTCAAAACTTAATTTAAAACTAACATTTGCGCACACGTGTCAGGTACACACAGACTTTGTGTGTAACTCCTGTAGTTAACATAAATATCAATTGAAATACAAAAGAATAAACATCATCTTTTATCTCTTACTTCATATTTGATATACACTTATCACAACATAACACCATCTCTGCACACGACACACGGCACAGTGATGTTGGATTTATTGATTACATAGACTACTCTAAAAAGTAAAATATTTCGAGGGGGGTAGAACCCCCAATTTCACGTTTAGAAGACGGATGCCTTATCCAATTAGGCCACCGAAGCCTAGCTAAACCTTTTAACATTCTTTCACTAGCATTAACTCCATTTGCTGTTATCACGTGATAAAATTCACGTGCTTCAGGCACACATTCAGGCAACAATTTAAATAATGAAGTTATGGCACTGCGTGGGTATAGATCGTTTTTTATCCAAATAAATAATTCATCTAATATTAAGGTATTCTCTTTATAATAAAAAAATAACATTTCTCGAAATAGTGGCAAAAGACTGAAGGGAATTTGGAGATAACAACTAAGGAAGGACAGGGCGTCTGAGTAATCAAGAAATAAAAACTATGTTGATGCATTTAATTATTTGAGCTCTTTGAATAAAACTAGTACGCTTCTTATTTGTACTCATAAAGATCTATTACCGTTCCAAACTGTAAATATTATTACATATAGCATTTGTATCCCGTTGTGGGCAATAGTGAACAGTTTTGTAAGACAAAGAAGGCCTGAGTCAGTGGAAGCACGTACTGAGCGTTGCATAACGGGGCAGATCAGCTTATACTTGCTAGTTTTTTCTTTCTGAATAAGCATATCGTATACAAAACAAAAGGCCTACAGCTTTTGACTACAAATAGCAACGGCAGCACTTTTTTTTCTCTCTCTTTACCTTTAAACCTATATTATATTATAAGCTTTAATACTTTCTATATGTCGCTAAAGCCCTTAACATAATAACATATTATTAAAAAGAACATAGTGTACATTTTAAAAAATCGTCTTTTCTGGATTTCCATGTCTAATTTCGAGAAATTCAAGCGACTTTCAAGCGACTTTCAACATGCTCTATTCTATTTAAAGAGCTACTTTTCGAATAAAAATACATGATCATTCATTTCACGCTTTGTTTCATATGCAAATTATTTGTATAAATTTATTAGATATACTGAATGCCATTCTCTTGCGTATGAACAAATATTGGTTGACTTTGCATACCCATTGGATTTCCAGACCATAATACAAATTCGTTATGCAGTGATTCATTATCTTCTTTGAGTCCAAAGATCTCTTGAAGATTGGTAGTGACAAATTTAATAGCGTCGGCTTCTGTGATTTCCATCTCCTCGTATGATGTAGCAGCCAACCAACCAGCATCCCACGCTAAATTACGAGCCCAACCATCATTAGATACCCCTAAACCAATTTTTACTTTATGATGATGTAAAATATGTGCTGCAGTTCCATTTGTTAATGGCGCACCAGTCAAGCAATGACTAGAGTCAAAGTTTTCTGGTGTACATAAATAGGGTCTCAAGATAACTGCAATCTTGGCTGATGCCAAATGTGGAGCAAGTAAGTGGGCTTCTGCGCCACCCATAATAGCAAGGCGTGCTTTAGGGATTATCTTTTCTTTCAATTGGACTATAGAAGCAATTTCATCTTTGTTATTCACCATAATGATCAATGGGATTTCCCCGCGAGCAGCCTGTCCGTAGTGATTTTCAGTGTTGATGTTGTCTGTAAATATCTGCCTCAAAAATGCAATTTGAGATGATACTGTAGGGAAGCTGTCAGATTTAGCTGCATCACCTATCTGAAGATGAAGAGCAGCCGCAGGTGAGAGCAAAGCACCATCTGATAAAACTTTTGGTATAATTTAAATGTTTGAAATCAGTGGGCTTCTTGACATTTGAACTTACTTGAATCTGCCTTGGTTTTGAATGCAACACTTGTGCCAATGACAATATTTTTAGAGACGGGTGAGCTAATTGTAGTCAAGATCCCACCCTTGTAAGCTTCACCTAGCTTTTTTGTTCCTAACTTCAATCCATCCACTGCTTCAATGACTGATTTGGGATTTTGTGAAAATGACGATGGAACGATACCGTCGCCAGTCGAACCTTCTGAGGGTATTTCTACAAGACCCAGTTTTGATCCTACAGCAATCAGCCCCTAGATGCTGGTCAGGTTTTATGAACACAAAGAATAACTGTGTTCACTTACAGGTAGAATATAGCCTCCTTGTACATCAAATGTCTCGAAATCGCTTTGACTTAGTATCGATTTGCAATCATCTTCTGTTGTTGCACAAACAATCTGTCCATTTTGTACAACAACTGTGTTGGACTTGCTTATGTAATTGGATCCAACGTTAGTCAAAATGTAGTTTTTAAGGCCTTCTTTGGGAAGCTCAGAAATCTGTCCTGGTTGAGCTGTGTTTTTGATTAGATCTTTTTTGAATGGCGTAATGGGCTTTTCATCAAACAGGGGAACACCATCTATAAAAACTTGCAAAGGTGCAGCACCAAGGGCCAAAGGACTACGATCCCAGATAACTAAATCAGCGTCATATCCGACTTTTAATGAGCCAATGCGATGGCCTAAACCAAGTGCATTTGCCGGCACAGATGTTATGGCTTTGAAAGCCTCCTGAGGAGGTAAACCGTGATGTGCTGCTTTGGCTGCTTCAAATGCCATATGCTGTGAATTAAGAACTGGATGATCACTCTTCAATGCAACAGGAATGCCTGCTTCGTACAGGTATTTAGGTGCTCTCGGGGATGCACCAAAAGCTTCCTTTTTGTAGCCCCAGTGATCAGCAAAAGTTGCGATTGTAATGTTATTTTGTGCTCTTTTGAGGATATCGGGTATTTTGTATGCTTCTAAAGCGTGATGAAAAGCACTGATTTCGAAACTAAATTCATTTGCATGTCTCATCATAGCCTCGATATCATGAGTCTCGTAGCAATGAACATTAAGTTTAACTTGACCTCGTAATAATGCTGTGAGTGATTCTAGTCGGATATCTTGGGGAAATTGCTTGTCAAAATGCACATTGTCGATGGAAGATAACTTTTCGGCTGCAGAGCACCAATCTTCTTGGGCTTCGACTAGTTTTCGAGCGTCAGCAAATGCTTGACGGAACAAGTATGATTCTCCCAATCCTAATAAATAAAGCCTGAGTCCTATATTTCATGCGATACACGTCAATATACTAACTTGTTGACGGCATGCGTCCCATTCCAGCATAACTCTTTACATGTCACATCAATCAAAGTGTAAATATTTATGTAAAAAATTAGTTACCTTGGGATTTTCACCACATGCCATCTTCATATATCGCCATTTCTGCTCTTTTTTTTCATCGATGCCATTTTGAACCAACATATCTTGATTGCTCATAGTGCGCATTGGTCTTAATTTAAAAGCAAATGCTTCACCTCCAATCAAATTACCTGAGCCGGGTAAAACAAGTGCTGTCGTTATCCCGCCAGATGCAACAATGCGAATTGCTTTATCAGATGGGTTAAATGCATCCAAAGTTCTCACAAAAGGTGTAACAGGATTTGTTTTTTCGTTTGTATCTGATGTTCCTGACAAATCTGGCCATGACGCAACACCTAAATGTCTGTATGTTTAGATGTTAGTATTATTTATACGAAATTTTGTGTTTCAACGTACGTGTGCATATCAACAATGCCTGGAGATACGATATGACCTTTAACATCAATGATTTTTGCCGATGCTGGTGCCTGGATGTTGGGTTTCACTTCAGAAATTATACCGTTGTTCATCAAGACATCAACATGATCTAAGATTTCTCCTTGCCCATCCCAAACAACGACATTTCTGAGCACAATTGGTTGACTATCTTTGGGTACACGAGGGTTCGACATTCTTCTATGTGTAGCAACGTTTGATGGTTTAGGATGATGTATCTCTCGACATGTGGCTAATCCTTCTTGAAAATTAGTTGATGAAATACCGGGCATAATAGGTGCTTCGATAGGATAAAAATCTTTTTTATGTTCACTATCAGGGAGCCATGTAGCCAACCGTATCAGCAAAACAATGAATACTACAACAGCACTGAAAGCCACAATGGATAATTGATATTTTTTAACACACGTTTCATAATTAAATCTTTTTATACGGTGAGTCGATGTGAATCGTTGCCCTAGTTCATCACCTTGATTGGTTGTGTTGGTAGAATTATATCCACCTGCTGTGGACATTTTATTCTGTAATACTAAAGAAAAAGGAAGAAAGAAGAAGGGAAATAATATGATGTACAGTGATAAACCAGTGTGTATATCTTTTTCTGTTGGTCACGCGTGTTTGTGATACACTCTATTATAAAATGATATACCCTACAATATCAATATGGTATAGATCATCACCCAAGATATAATGATTGTAATGTTTTTCTCTACCGCTTAAGAAATAGTTTTGTGTGGATACATCTTTTACAATAATATCTATGTTTTATTGGATGTGCATCCAAAGTGTACATATTTTATATTTATATATATATATATATATATATATATATAACACTTGTAACTGTACAAACAAGGGACGTATTGGCAAGAAGACGAGAAGACCTGATCGTGTGAAGTGCTGTTTGAACTATGTCAATTAATGATTGATTTTATCAGGGAACCCTTTACCATAATGAATCCTTTTCTTGTAGAAATAAGGGTCAAAAAGATAGATACGAATATATTGTAAAAAATGTGGATTGAAGAAATGAAGAAGGAATAGGTTAAAGGCGACATTGATCTCTGTATATTTGATTTATTAAACAGAAATCATGCATCGTATTTCAAGGTCAAAGTTGGGAAAATAGAACTCGTTCTGCAAAATTGAAAAATTAAAAGGGGTAACATAGTGTACCTGAACCCGGGATAAAATCATAGAATTGTCAAAGACAACGTCTTCACCCGTAAAACACCGTGCGATATAATTCACACATTACTCTACCCATCCACGACAGTATTTTAGTTTCACATTTCTTTCACTGGCCTTGATCAATTCTAGCATTCGCTGCTTGCCCACTTTTGGCTATCTTCAAATACAGTATAGTTTTTCAGTTTGCTGAAGCAAGACTCGATTCTGTTATTGAATTTTTCTTTAATCATAGGGACTTTGTGAAAGCTGGCATTATACAAGACAAAAAAAATGATTGACTAGGATACTCTTAATCAAGCCATTTCAAAAAAACCTCTACGAGTTTTGAGAATATTTCTCCATTTGTTTCTCGTTCAATTATAA